TTATAATATTGATGTACATCATCATTTTAAAAAGATTAATCTTCTTAATATTTAACAGTAAAACTATTTACTTTCTCTCCAAATCTTGACACTATGTATACTTGTATACTTAGGTACCTATATCCACCCAATAAACAATAATGTATAATATCATTTTTTTTTTATATACCTGGAATATAATATATAAACATTATAAACAATAATGCATAAACCGATGATGACTTAAATACCATAACCTACTTATATAATATTTAAATGCAAAAGTATAAATGTGTCTGTCTGTTGCTAAATGTCCAGGTGTCTCGACCACTGAACTGTTTTTAATACAATTTTTTTGATAAAAATAGCTTGAACACTGATAAAACAGCCTAGCTACTTAAAAACAAAAAATCAACACCTAAGGGGTGAAACGAAATAACTACTATAATGTGATTGAAAGTAAGCTGTGTGGATGGAAATTTTAAATTTGATGGGAGAGTGTTTCGTTTAGGAAGGGATTCTTAGGAATTTGTCCCCTAAAAGGGGTGTTAAAGTTTGTATGGGAAATAATATTTGTATGGTAAAATATTTTACTTTAAACTTGGTACTAATGCTCTTCGAGACGAATAATGAAACACGGTTAGCTGGAACTAGCTTCCTTACTCGTCATAACAAAACTACTGCAGATATGTGAACGAAACCACAGGAAATAGCTAGTCGAAATAAGTTTTAACAATAAATTCTATAACGTACTATGGACATAACTCCATGCCTTACATTTCCCACCATGACTTGGTCATTGCATATAATTCTTCAGAGATATTTTCTGCGCTTTTTATTAAATTCTTTGTTTTCTACTTGTGTTAAAATTGTGTAATAACACACACACACGACACATAGATACATACATACGTACATTTATACATTCGTCATACATGCATATTTTAATATATAAAACGCTCGTCAATCGTCATGGTCTTGCCGTTTTTTTTCATTTTTCGAATAAAACAGAACTCGTGTAATTTTACATGGAACGATATTTTATGGGATTAACGGTGTTAAACAAATGAACTCGTCCTTTCGTAAATCCCGTGACATTAAATGTGTGTTGTATTGTTTAACCGCAAACGGGCACCTATATGAATAAAATATAATAAATTATAGCAACTTGTCCAGTCGTGTGTTGTGTTATATTATTATTATACAAGAATAGTTTTCGATGCAACCACCGTTACACGGAAACACATTTGGTAATCTGCAGCGTTTGATTCATGTCAGTGGCTGGACGGGTGTAAAAACAAAATATAATACATATTAATATTGTTAAATGTACTATTTTATCATACATATAAAAATTACAATATAAATCAAAACGAAAATAAGACGAGTGATTACGAGGAACTTTTTTTCTACAATTGTATGAATTAAACATTTTATACAACAAGGAAAATAATATGTTAACAAAAATAAAAATAAATAGTGTGTAAAATGCAGGGATCGATATTATTACCTATGTATAACTATAATAACAGTTAGGTATTTTTATTACTAAAAAAATAATTATTTACCCACAATACCAACAAAGGGTTAGATTGGTAAAATTGAAAATATTTGATTACAACTTTTCACACGTCTCTCGAGTTCGTTTCGACGGTTTGATTTATAAAAGCCAATTCTGCAGGGATATAAAATTATGTTGTTTAGTTTTCAAGTTAAAATATACTGAAATGTTTGAACGATACATAATATAATCGTACGAAACCTTTTAAAAAATATTCCCAAAATGATGTGTCCATCACTTATTTGCATTGTGAAACCTATAAATTTTCGACTACAATACCTTGACAAATGTATTCCACACATTTTTCAAGTCCACTCTATAACATTTGCCGCACTTCATTAGGTAAGTGCACAACTCAAATATTCAGCTATTTAGGACTGTGGTAAATTTTTTAGCGATTGTCAAGTGTATACATTTTATCTTTTTTTCAGTTAGTTTCCGAAATGTTTAAATTGTATGTTTCTTCACGGCTACAGCAGCAGGTCGTCGTCGGTATCGTGACTTTGTCATTTCCATTTCTCTGTAACCGGATATCTTGGTACCTACGTTATTAGTAATATTCGTAGACTATGGAGATACTTGAAAAAAACGACCGACCGTTCGATTATTTCGGCGGTCGGCTGTACAGTTCGTGACGAAACGATAATATATAATAATATAATAGTATGAATATTATAATTTAGAATAATCTCCGAGCCATAGTGAAAATCACGATCGGTCGCGGTGAGTTTATCATACAAAAAAAAAAACCTCCATCCAATATGAGTGCCTCGTCGATTATCCTGGAGTAACCTAGGTGTAACGTTGACAGTGTTTTGTGGTTACTATTATCTACTATATAATATACGATCAATTTAAAATATTTAAATTGAAGAACCATTTAAAAAATTGTCATCGTTATGCACCAAAGACAAATTCTATTCGCATGTATTTATACAGTTGACGGGCAGTGCTCCACGGCATTATTTAAATCCACAGCCGTTAAAACTGTATACTTTTATACTATTAACACTGTCTACGATGTACCCACCTACGTGTAGGTATATGTATCGTTATTCAATATCTATATTATACAGTGAAACTTCCATATAACGAAGTCTCAATGGGAAGAAAAAAATTCGTAATATAGAAGAATTCGTTAAATAGAATTATATATGTTCAACAAAGAAGGTCATAGTTCTAAAAAATAATTCGTTAAACAGAAAATTTCATTAAATGGGAGTTCGTTATATGGAAGTTTCGCTGTATTTTATATATTATGATTATTATTATTATTATGATATTATGATATATAAAATCGTCGTTTAATTTTTCAAGTAGATGTACCGAAATCTATAGTGCAATAACGTTATACAGTTAGGGTCTTACTCGAAAAAAAAAATATTATTAAATCGTCTTTGTTCGCGTGAAATTCGATGAAAACGACTGTTGTCATTATTATTTGAAACATGAGTGAAACAGTTCAATTATTTTACAAATAGCTACGTTACGTCAGTGCACGGTTGGTTTTTCTCTACCAAATATAGTTAATACCCATAAAATATAATAGTGACGACTGCAGTGATGGGTATTTTTATTTGATTTTTTAATCGGTCGAATCTTATTAAGACAATTTGAAGGTGGGCTATATCTTCTAAATTTCAGAATCGGAGGATTATGGACAAACTTACTGTTGAATACCTAAGTATTGTGGCAACATTCACAAGCTTAAAAAAAAATATGATACCTTTCATTAATATTATGAAAAATATTATAGTATAATCATTTCTAATATATTATAATATTTCATATTATAATTGCATTGTACCTATATGGGTTAAAAAAATGAAAAAAGCGTAAAAACGATTTATCTAGAATAATATTTGCAGTTCCTAAAAAAGTTATACCGTTTCACTGTTTGCATGTTTGCACGCGCCTTTACCAAGATACACACAATATCATATTTCATATTATACAATATACAATATTGGTTGTGTATAAGTTTCTACATGGAAAATCACGGTTTCAATTCGGCCCGAAGTAGTGGAGATTTATCCGCTTCCTCTACCTATAAGCTTTATAACTTATAAGTTATAACTATTATAACTACCTAACTTTTGAATATGTACTGAACGGAAATTAATAATTATTCTACTTTCAAAATATTGAGATAATAATAAATTAGTTGAATATTATAATATTATATAAGACATAAAGGTAGGTAAATATCGTACATTTGTTACTGCTCCAGTTGATACCGTGTATGGGTTTATGTTGTAAAGTGAAATCGTTCTTTTCGTTTTGTTTGCTTCCGCGATGGTACCCATAACAAAAGCCATCAAAATAATGCTATGTTCCTACGTGTGGTTGTGTGATTACATTTTTTCGTGTTTGCTAGTTTCTCTCGATAGTTTTTATTGTAAAAACTCGTCAAATAGGTGGTACACAATGTTTACACAAATGTTTCCTGTGTGGAATTTTGGGTAAAATATACAAGTGCTAAAACACAGATATATCCCAAAGATCGAACGCAACGTCAAGAGTGGATGTAATCGCTAATCACGCATTCATGGCGTACCTGCTGTTCTTCCATCGTACTTATATAGTTATATATAGTATAAGTATATATAGGTATATATAGTCATATTATATTATGGTATATAAAAAGTATTGGACAGAAAAACGTATAGTAATGTATAAGGATCATCATTCATCATAAAGTTCGTGTACATGCGTTTTCGGAAACTTGGAAATTATCTATGAATCAACATTTAAGTATCGATGTCGATGTTAGATGAACAGTTATTATAAACCATTACACGAATGGTTCAAAAAGTGCTCTCCTCGTTACATGGTTAACAATAAAATGTCTTATAAGTTATAATATAATATTTCCATATGTTATTACTTATTACTTATTAATTATTATAAATGTGTTTTTAAAAATGTATCGAAATGTGATGTAGGTATGAACAATATAATTTAAAATCTAAATCGTACGTTATGGCCTATGGGTGCGTTTAAAATGCATTACCCAGGCACCCAGCACCCAGGGGTTCCGTCAACTCATGAAGGTGGAATTGTGTGATGGGATCTGTTTTCTCGATAAGGTATACAATATCAAACCTACATTGGAACGCCCTAAAAACGTCCGGCATCCGGTTTGAACCATAATCATACACCGCTCTCGCAGTCGTGAATCCGCTATAGCCTATAGTAAAGTCGTATAATCGCTCAATATTTCGGTAAGTTCGTAAAAAAAAAATGTGAACGCCGAAGAATGTAGGCTCTGCGTAGACTTGAGCCAGCTGGTATCCTGCAAAAGCCGACTCTACACAAAAATGAGGCCTGTACAATAATATCATATTATTATTATTTCAAAGTCCTGGTCGCATCATAGATCATAATAATATAATATTATAGTACAATTTGCAACATAATATTATATTATACTGCACAGCGAAACGAGAGCGAGCGATTATTATATTAACATTTTCATCGCTGCTGGTTGCCGGTTGGCCGGGGAAGGATGGAGGGAAGAGTGCGTTTCGCGAGCGAGGGCCGCCGCCGTCGCGTTTTTATCATTTCGTTTATTGTCGTGTCGCCGCGGTCGTCGTACGCGCACGCCGCGCCCGCTGCGGCGAAATGAGCGATGAGCGGCGAACGAGCGATCGAGCGAGCGTTTGAGAGCACCACGACACAAAGCGGCTTTTGTTGCGTCGCCGGGTTCGACGACCTCGCTGCGGCGGCGACGTTCGGCCGTCATCGGAATCGGCCCCGAACCGAGTCGTCGTTCGCGCTCCGTCGGCGGCCGTTGCCGCGTGGTACACGCGCGCATTTCTCCGCGAGTTCGTTGACCCGGCCCGGCCGTCGCACGCGCAACCCAAGCGCTCACGCACGCACGGCGCCCCCGTCACCGACACACAGGTAAAACGGCGGGTAAGCGCGCTATCGATTTCACGACATTTCGGGAGGTTTTCATTTTCCGGTTTTTCGCGTTTTTCACTTACACTACCCGTATCGTCGTGTGTAATAATATGTGTTTTTCACCCACCTCGCGCGACTCGATTTTCCGGCGAAATTTCAACCTCGGTCGGTCCGAGCACACTAAAAATGCATTTTGTTGACTAAAAGTCACATACGAGAATTATTACGGTTTTTGTTAATTTGTATAAAGTCGCGATATGTAATAATATTGAACATATTTAATGGTAATTTTACCATAATATTATAGACGGCACGATAAAACGTGAACATCGTATGATATTATGTACAAAAAAAATTAACTGCCTGTTCGTTCGACGGCACAACTGTTACTAAATTATTATAATGTTTATTGGTATCGAGTATCGACACGATCCGTGTTATATAAACTTCTAATAAAAATTTTAAACGACGGCATATCAGCCATCAGGTATAAAATGGGTTTTATTATATTGAATGACGTCAATATATGGGTTCGAAGAAGGATTTGGATTTAAATCTTAACTGCCTACGTGGCCTATATTATTGTTAGTTTTGACCATCGTCGTTATAACGGTTAGATTTTTAAGAAGAATAGTCAGACTTTATTTTTGAATCTTTCCGTCGACTTATCCGGTACAATAATAAATCGCATAGTACAATATTGCAGTGAACCTAAAATCGTATATACTTAATTATATGGTACCTATGACTGAAATACGCAAAGTACAATAGATGCCCTGCAGCAACTAAAAAGAATCGCATTATGTAGACCGTGTAAAAGTCTTAGATTGTATCTTTGAATGCGCGTTAATACTTAATACGCGTTATACATACCAAAAATGATTCAGATGAATTTTTTACAGTACAGTCATACTATGTTGGAATCTTGAGAATCGTCATAAATGTCATACTATAATGTTATTGTTTCGTAAACATTTAAATATTTTATCGAAACCAGTACAAAATTATACGAGTGTAATATATTATTATGTTAGTAAATTTTGAGAGCAAGGTATAATATTATATCATAATAATTGATTTTTAATATCGTCTTACACGTGTCGACATCTGCTTCTCCTCATCCGACATTGCGCAGTATGATGACCCCATAACACGTATTATATTAATAATTATTGTTATCGTTTAAAACAGCTTTCATCTCCAGCCATCTCAATGCACGCAGAGTTAAAGCGCTTTAAACGGTGCACACTGCACATATCATATTATTATTGACTACGTCTAAGATCTTGATTGGAAATTAAGTTGCAACTGAAAATAAGATAATAATATACTAATAAGAATAATCAAATTCGGTATGGGCGTGTGAGGGCAGATGGACCACAAGCAAACAATTAACCATATAATTTATAGAATTTTTGGGATCGTACCCACCACCCAAAGCCGTTTTACAACTCAACACTTTTAATAATTTGTATTCCTTTGTACAAAATAGCTATAGCATATTCTATAATACGACCTACATAAATTAACCGAACGCTAAATATATATCTAATACGGTTTGTTGGTTTGTACTTTGTGCGCGTTTGACTAAACACTCGCTAGGTAATCAAATATTAATAAACAAAATAAATAATGTAGTTGATTAAAAACAAGTATACAATATTTTAGTATACGACTCTTTGTAGAATAATTTCTATTAAAAAGTATACAATTTGATATTAATATCAATTACGCAATTCAACTTTATTAATTATTACACAAAGAGTGAAACAAAAATAGGTACGTATAATATTATGTATTTGGTATTTTGGTGTATACCTATTACCTATATTATAATATAATAATAATAAAAGATAGTAGTTTCGATGAGAGAAGAGAATAATAATTATTTACTTATGAAATTTGTAACTGCGTCCAGTTTAAAAAAAAAATTTTAATTGAAACAAAAGTCGATTCATTTGTTTAAGTTGACGGTATTTTTAACTGTTACCAAAGCTCTTTATTAAAAACAATACAATTTATAAATATTAAAAATTAAATTTCTTGATACTAATACCTATATACTATATTATAATTTATAGTAATTGTATTGCATCAGAACTAAATTCTAATTAAATTCTAACTAATAGGGCATACACTCAACTACTAAAGCAACTGTGTTGATAAATGTTTTCACCTGATGATTTAGCCGCGTGAGTTTCGATGATCGTATCGGTATCTCAACAATTTCCCTTGAGCGTAAGTAAAAGTCGTAAATATATATTATATACACACTGACTTAGTGACTTCTTAAAAAAGTAATCTCTGTTTAAGTAATCTCATATCAAGCTGGAACGGTTTAAACAGTGGCGATTAACCGAAATCTAAAATTCTCTGCAGTTTTCGAAGGCGAATATGATTTATCATTGCTTATATTATATTATAAAAGTACGTAGGATTTACGACGGTTCTTCGTAATTGGCTGGGCCACCAAACGAAGCTATACGGTTTTCTAATTTCTAATTATCATTTATCACAGCAGACTGTGCCTCTACTGAAGTATTATATTATTGTGTTGCCACTTGTCTGGATTTCTGTTTTGTTTCAATCTATATGCATAATGTGATAATATTATTAAATCGAATCATCATTGTCCTGTCCATTCTGACTAATACGGTTGACGAAATTTAAGTATAATATAATTGTTTGGTGGTACTTTTAACCTAATAAATAATAATATTAACAATGTAGGTACATAAATTCCTCTCCCCGATTTATTATATTATATTTTATATAATATTGTACAGTGGACAACAGACATAATAATATAGTATATTATAATATATTCGTTACAAGTGCGCGTTTATGTTTTTTGTTTTACGCCGTTGTCAGTAATATTGGCAAATTAACAATATCGCATCTTCACGTGGACAACTATATAGTCTCCAACCGGACAGCTGCAGTTATTATCTATTTGATTATTAATATTATATTGTATACGATGGTGGAATAGTATGTGCAGGTTACAAATCACTTGGGAGTGTCTATGCTGCAGCTGCTAATCATAAATCATAATATCCATACTTCGACGGGCAATGCATTTTAATGTCATATCGTAGTTAAACTTGATCGTATATCACATTTTATTTATACGTAATCGTATTATGCACAAGTAAGCTGTAAATTTGAATAGCAGTTTTGATTTTTTCTCGAGTTAAAATCTGATCACTGCAGCGAGCTGTATTTTAATCTTGCATCGGAAACGTTATTGGTGTGGGTATGTATACACAATATCATGATTTTGAAGTGTCGTGATCTATTTAAACGAAAAACAATAATCATAATTATTAAATTCAGTAGCGCATATAATATAATATTGATGTAAAACTATAATATTGGATAATACATATTGTATTCGTTTGTCCGAATTTCAGCCACCAATCATGTACAAAAAACATGACACTTTTCAGCGGTGACATATAAGATGGTCAAATATGCGTGTAATTTGTGACATTTATTTGTAAATCTGTGTATCTGTAATAGTGTAATGGAAAATCCAGGACTACAGTAGAACAAAAATATTCAACGGTACTTATTATTTTTCGTCCGAACTACACGATTTTGATCCGGAAAAACAACGTCGGCCAAACAATGGCACGAATTACTGACAATGTTCCTACAGAAAAAAAATCGTTTCCTACGCGTATTTGCAAAGGACTCTTCAAACGGCCAACGGCAATATAATATAATATATTATATTATACAACCACTCGTTACAGAACAGTGGCGTGCCGATGAAGGGTTTTTTTAAGCAATTCCCTCAAGTCTTAAATGGGTGGGTGTGTGATTAAACGTAATAAATCCAAAAAAATATGTCATATAACAAAATAAAATAATGTTATTTTTTAGCTGTACCAAATTATTCGTGGAATATAAAAATCCATATTTTTTGGTACCTAGTGGGTTCTTAATTTTGTGTCTTGTTTCGAGTTTAAAAATTATATTGTACAGCTTGCCACTGTTACTGCATACTACAGTATAATATTATTACTATCGAGTTCGCCGTGTGTATAATATGCGTCGCTGCAGCTGCAGCAGAGAGTATATTATACGCCACGCGCATTGTAGTAATAATTGTACGAATATCATCATCATCATCATTATATATTTCGGCCGTCGTGCTGCAGCGTCCGCCGGACGCGCGTGAAGAGATTTCCACGGGCGGCGCGCACACACTTTCGAAAACGCATTCGTCGGAGTCGTGGCGGCGGTGGCGGCGGTGGAGGGGCGGCGGAGGGGCGGTGTAGGCCGCTGCTGCGTGCGTTGCCTTCAGGAAATATTTGGAGGTCGACGACCCCGGCGTGATAAAACGAGCTCCGCGTGCGTCGCCGTCGGAACGCGATGCAACTATAATACAGGCCGCCAAACAGTAGCCGTCTCGGTGGAAAGAGGCGAAATAACTCGGCTGTGCGGCGGGTGGGTAGTGGTTGAGGTAAGGGTGGGGTGGGGGAGGGGTTGATGGGAGGTTGTCGAATTTTTTATTTTTCGATTACTCTTTTCGGGTCAGGTGGGATGGTTAACGGGCGAGGAGATGGGAGCGGTGACGTTAGAATCATAAAGGTATATAATTTGACGCAACTATATATTATATTATAATACTGCAGTGTACTCATAGAAACGCGAAAAAAGTACTTACAACTGCACTCTGGCTGTATAATTCAGGGTTATAGATATAAACTGTACAACGTCATCTACGCTATAACCTAACTTACTAATCGTGAGAATATAATATACATACATTATATAGGTAATCGTAAAATAATATTATTTATTAGGGCTATGAAAATGTTGCATTAAACTCATAAGATTTAGTCAAATGTGTGAAACTATATATAATATTATATTATACAATGCATTTAAATGTAAAACGAA